CTAGTTTCAAGTTAAATTGGCCATACATTAATTTGACTGAATCTAAATGGCAACTTGATAGGCTGATGGTAACGTTAAAAAATGGCATGCCTAACCACGATACTATAGCACGATCGAAACCGCAGCCTTCCATAGACGATTTTTTTGAAATAAATAATAATAATATTGAACCTCTAGATGCTTTTTTTAAATCTAAAAATACTAATTTAAATATTTTTGATGTTTTTTTTTATATAAAAAGTTTGTTTATTAAATTTAATACTGCGTTGCCCTCAAGTGCTAGTGCTGAACGATTATTTAGTATGGCAAAGCTTATACTTTCTGATCGTCGCTCTAGACTTGGGGATGACAGTACCGAAATGTTATTATTATTAAAGTGCAATAATAAATAAAGTATATATATATATGTAACAAATTATTGTCATGTTTTTATATCAATATTTTATTTGTGGAAATAAAGTTACGTAAAAAAAAATATTTAAAAAAAAATCAAAGTAGCGTAAAAAGTAGCTAATAGCGCGCTACTCATTTGAAAGCGGTAGCGATAGCGCGCTACTTTTAAAAGTAGCGTTTAACAACACTGTTAATAACATTATACTTTATGAATTATTACTTCTATGAAATATTAGATATATATTTTTAAAAAAATTTGCCTAGTCTGGACTGTTTATTTTCGATATGGCCAGACCCATTTTTTTCAGACGTTACCCTGCCAAGGCTGAGTATTGCAGACCACTGGTTCAAAATTTTCTGCCATCTCTGAGCAAGATCTTCAGGCATAATATTTTTCGGCTAAAATATTGGTTAGCCCTTTTTAAAAATCGAGCCCTTTAACCAGTGTTGTTAAACGCTACTTTTAAAAGTAGCGCTTTATAAAAAAAGTAGCGCGCTATCGCTACCGCTATCGTTTTTAAATGAGTAGCGCGCTATTAGCTACTTTAATTTTTTTTTTAAATATTTTTTTTTACGTAACTTTATTTCCACAAATAAAATATTGATATAAAAACATGACAATAATTTGTTACATATATATATATACTTTATTTATTATTGCACTTTAATAATATTAACATTTCGGTACTGTCATCCCCAAGTCTAGAGCGACGATCAGAAAGTATAAGCTTTGCCATACTAAATAATCGTTCAGCACTAGCACTTGAGGGCAACGCAGTATTAAATTTAATAAACAAACTTTTTATATGAAAAAAATCATCAAAAGTATTTAAATTAGTATTTTTAGATTTAAAAAATGCATCTAGAGGTTAATTAAAAATACTTCAGTATATTCTTTAATAAAAGTATGCTCCTCCACATTAAAATACTGTATTCCCATTTGATCCAATATATAATTCATTTACATTTTTTTCTCATCTAGAAACAATGCTAAAAGTTTCATAGCATTGTAAACACTATTCCATCTTGTAGTGTTTGGTGTCAATACATAACGTCCTAATTTTTTTTTGAAAATATCAGACGTTTTTGATGACTTATTTTGTTTATTACAAAGAGCTTGGCATTTAGAAAATAATCCTCATTTAATAATGCTTCTTCAGCATCCACTGTCGCAACTAAATTTAGGTTGTGGCAGGAACAACGATGATGGTAGGTAACATAGAAGACTTTATTGAAGATCCTAAATATTATAAATTTATTTTATATTGGTGAAAAATTAAATATAAAATAATTTAAAACCGAGGATGTCATGAACATCAATTATCTCAAACTCCATTTCATCATCCTCTACTTGTTCTCCATCTTCAATATTTTTGTCAGGAATATTACTAGTATTGTTATTATTATTATCTTCCCCAAATACTCTATATTATTTATATCATATTATAAAAAAATTATAATAAATTTAAAACCTGAAGGCCTTCAGGAAATTAGACCCATTATCCGTAATCATCTTACAAACCTTGTTTTGAATTTTGTAAGACCTATGGATTTCTGCAATAATATTGGCTAGAATGTCATAAGTTTGACAGTCAATTATATTCTTTAGCTAACGCTACAGATTTTCGTTTAAGATTTTTAGGATCAATCCAAATGTGCAGTTACTCCTAAATAAGCTCTAAAAATATGACATATTATAAATCAAAAAATAAACATTTTTACCTTCTATTGTGAGTCCATCAATCTGCCGTTGTACAGAAGTAGGAGACATCTGATAGATTTAATATCAAAGATTCTTTCATTTCCTTAAAGCTTTCCAAAATTCTTGCCATCAATGTCTGCCGGCAAAATATCTTGGTCCGTGGAAAAAAAGTGTTTATCATCTTTATAAAAGAATCATCCACCAAGGATAATGGTTGAACTATATTTATTATAAAGTTCATAATGACTTTGTCAGCCAATTTTTGGGATACACCAGGTGTTGATGAATCCAAATTGGTTAATTTTGTTTGTATTAAATTTGATTTAGAAGTGGGTTTATCTTCTTCCATTACCCCAAAACTTTTGAGATATTTTTCAATCTCTTTATAATTTGAAGTGTGCACAGTCTAAAATTATAAAATACTTGGAATAAAAATTATGTAGAAGATAAGTACATAAAAATGATGGAAATAACTATTTTATGTTTTAAATAATTTAGATAAAATTTATGAATATATAAAAAAAATGATTGGTTTTTGATTTTAATTATTTTAAAAATTAAAGATTAGCCTACACATTGATATTAAATTTGTTTAATATACTATCTTAAAATGTTTTTTCAAATTAAAGCTGCTCGTATGATTTGAAGAGATAATTTTGCGGCACATCTTGCACCGAAACCGATATCCAGTATTAATTTTTTCTTCAAGGTTAAAGTATTTCTTGAATTTTGGGAAAGGATCATCTATATTTTGCTCATTTTCCAAAGAAATTACTATATCTTCAACAATCTCACACATAACAAGATTTATAATGCTTAATATAAAATGTAAAATGAAATATAAAATAAGATAAAAGCAAGAACATACCAATAACGGAATTTCAAAAATATATAATTTAATGAATGCGCGAAATATAATATAAATACAGATTGCTATTTAACAACTGTTTATATCTAATATATAACAATAATGTATATTTTTAAATATAAATTTCAATATTAAATTAAAGGATTATAATTTTAGATTTTATAAAAAATATATTTTAATAATTTTTAGATGTATTTATTATGTAAAATTGAAAGTAGCGAGTAGCGCGCTACTTTCTAAATTAGTAGCGAGCTACCGCTATCGCTATTTTCTAAATTAGTAGCGAGCTATCGCTGATTTTTTAAAAAAGTAGCGCACTATAGCTACCGCTACTGAAAAAAGTAGAGCGCTATTTTAACAACACTGGTTATTAATTAGATTATAAATAGTTATTTATTTTAATGTTGAACAACATATATTTTGATGTAGGCCTTGTTAAGAAAAAATTAAAAACTGGGCAGATCCAAGCAACCTGAATGAAAAATTCAAATGGGGTTGTTTGGGAAAAAACTAAATTCCCACCAGGCCAGGCCTGAGAATTTTCCCATTTGCAGGCCAATAGTTTGGGTATTTATTAACAAAATCTCGAGGCTGCCATAATATTAATTTAAAATCGGCTAAACCGAGCCACCTAATAACACAAATTCCTAATTTTAAATTTTTTCAATTTATCAAACACATTATACAATTTTTTTAGACGTTTTAATGTGTCCTGTAATTATAGAGGCCATACTATTAAGAGGCTTTTATAGCCGCTAGGTAACTTGTCATTTAGAAGTATTTAGTATTATTTATGAGAATTTTGAGACTATTGATGAAGTATTGTTTTACTTTTCTAATAGAATTCAACTAAGTTTCTACTCATGATCAGTTGAAGCCAAGGGTCTTTTGTCTCAATACATAAATATAGATTATATTATTTTGATTGTTGTAATTTATATAATATTAATAAAAATTGACATTAAATAAGTAACTTCAGTCACTAGATACTAATATAGTGGATGCAAAAAATTGTGTTGACTCCTTAAATAATATATTAAAAAATAAAAGAGGCAAAAATTCATTTGATATGATAAGGATTTAAGGCTGAAAATTTTATATTAAAATTTAATCTGACCCCCAAAAAATTCTAATGGTTCATAAAACCTCTAAAAATCTTCATAATTTTTTGATTGATAACAAATTAAACTTTGATTTTGAAAAGGGTTATAATTGGAATTCTTTAAAAGGAAATTACAATAAATTATTGATTATTTTGAAACATGGCACCCAGAAAATATAGGATCAGACCCCTTTATTTGCAAAAATGTATGCATATTATAAACTGATATGTTTAAAACAGATACTTGAAAAAGCATATATACTAGTATTGCATAATCAGCTAATTTTAGCCAACCCCAAAATGGCTTAGTCAAGTTTTTAGGGTAAAAAATTGGCTGTTAATTAGGCTAGCTAAGAGTCTTAGGCAAGATTTTAAGGCGATTACAGAACACTAATATTAACAACCCATAAAATTATATAATATACATGATAAAATATGATGAAATAAAATAAAAATTATAAGTTTGAGCCTTTCCTTTCCTATTTTCTTTTCAGATTATAAATAGTATCTTTTTTCGAAGTCAAATTTAAAATATTTAAAATAATTTTTATATTTAGAAGAGAACTAAATGTAATAAAATTATTTTAAAAAAATATAAGTTTGAAAAAATAGGGAAGCATGAAAGGGGTAACTTTTTAATTTTTAATATATAAAAATATTTAATATTATTTTACAAAGCAATATATTTTTAGTGCAAAATTTTATTAAAAAATTATTAAACTAATTTTTAAAGAGTTAAATAAGTTAATATTAGCAAAAAATAAAAGGTAATGCCTATATTAATATTGATTACTCTCTAATTCTAATAAAATTAAGTTCTTATAATCCAAATTATCATAAATAATATAATTGGTAAATAAAATCTCAAAATATAGCATTAATTTAATTGTTTAACAGTATATAATTTATCATTTTTGATTATAATAATAAAAAACTTGATTAAGAAGTCCAATTGATTGATCTGTTACAACTTGTATTATATAATGACCGATTCCAAGATTCTGACATGTCTCTAAATTTCTTTTAACATTTTTTCTGACAAGGGAAGGGAAATTACCACGAGTAACAACTCTAAAACATATAAAAGGATGAGAAATATTAGAGGTTGCTCCATAATTCCCTATAGAATTGATTATTTCATTAGACTTTGATACATGTGTGCTAAATTGTTGTTTTAAATGAAGGTGGGGAGGGTCTGGAAAAGCAGGATAAAATACAAGTCCACAAAAATGAAAAATCATCAAAGGTAAGGCAATTAGATTTAAACAACGAAAGCCAAAAAGCAAGCATGTCCAGAAAAAGCCATATTTTACAAAGTAGGCATTCATATTTATATCATTAGGTAAATTGTCATTTTTATTAAAGGAATTTATGTAAAATTTTTCTAGACGTGGATTTTGAGGTAACTCAAGTTTATGTCTCCCATTGATTAGTAATGATTCATTAAGTTGATTATTTGGTACTTTATAGTTTGCTATGTCTCTTTCAAACAATACCGAGCGACGAGTCCTAACAGGCTCCATAAATTTTTTCCAAAAATCAAAATCCAGACCTCCACCCACTAGTTGAAAACATAAAAGTATTGAAAAATAGAGTGACAAATGTAAAATGTGTTTTAAAATCGCAGTGTTACTGGTTTTAGAAGTATTCAAACCTGGTTTAGCCATACTAGTAGATAAAACAATGTAAAACTCGTCTTGAACTGCAACTAAAGTGGTGTAAAAACAGAAATTTCATCTAAATTTAAAATATGGATGATTAAAATCAAATCATTTGCATTATAACATTCATATAAAAACTTTACATATAAAAATAATTGCGACATTTAACTAATCAACCACATATTCTATATAAATTCCAATAATTGATATAAATAAATATGATTATGCTTAATAACATAAATATATTAAATATAAATTAATTAATAATAATATGCATTTTTAATTATTAAAATAAATTTATTAAATAATTATGAAATATAATAAAAATATAATATATAAGAGTTTTGATATTAACAATAATTTTATAAGAAAACTATAGACCATATATTTATTTTATAAATTGCTAATATTTTAATTTGTAATTTCAATATCTTTTAAAAATTTATGGTTGAATATAACAATACTACATTAAAAAGCATTTTACACAGCTTCTATATTGGGTTAGTTATATATTAGGTATACTGTCATTAAATAGCTAAATATGTGTCCTTTTTTTAAAAGGTCCAATTAAGGTTTTAGCCAAAATAATATTATGAAAGCCTGAATATTTTAGGTGGCAAAAATTTTTGGTACTTTATTTTCTAAATCTCGAGACTTATATAATATATTTTAAATATATCCGTATTTGTGTCATTTTAAAGTCAAGCCAAATAATGCCGTTTAACATCACTAATTAGGTATATCTAAATTTTTATAAATATAGATTATATTAATGAAAATATATCTTTTAATTTAATTAAAGCAATTTTTAACTTTTTAACTTCAGCTATTATAAAGATTTCTGAGATAAATTAATAAATACACCACAATTCATGACGATATTCGTATAATTTTTATTCTATATCCTCTAATATTTAAATAGTTTTAAATATTCGGATATATTTATTTTTTTTGAATGCCTATTTATGCAAATACCCATAACCTTTGAGATTTGGGATTAAGGAATTGTAGTCTGCTGTCAATATTATTCTCGTAAAGATGAAGAGAGGTAGTCTCTCTTCTTTTTTTTAAGTTAGTATTTTAGTTATAGTTTTTTATATTAAATTAGTATACGGCGTTTTTGAACTCTACAATAAAATATAGTATAAAATGTTTTTACCCTTAAATGACATATAGTAGTTGGACATACAATATCTAAACCTAGTTAAGGGATTATTGTTTGTTAAAGTGGCTGATAGATATAATGCTATTTTATTAAACCATGATATTTGATAATTATTTATTTATATTTTTGTTATATCAAATATTTTCTGTTATATCAAATATTTTCTGTTATATCAAATATTTTCTATATTATATTGGATAAATATATATAAATGTTTTCTTTATAAAATTTATGCTATACCTATTTATATAAAAATAAAATAAGATTATTTGAATATAAAAATCAGAGTTGTTAAAAGATACTTTTTAGATAGATCTGGATACAGATACATTGACTAAAAAGTTATCTTGTTATAGATCCAATTTTTAAAATGTATCTAGATACATATACAATTTTTATTCTACTTTTATAAGCTCTGCACAAACCTAAATTAGGATTCTATTATGAAAATGCATGATATGAGCTAAAAAAATATATTGACGCGATATCCCATTTATCTAAATATAACTAAAATAATTATTTTTGGATTTTAATATAATCATATAATATATGAAAATATAAGATTAAATGATTATAAATAATTATTAGATTTCAGTAATAAAATATTTTCAAAATTTTGGTCATTAAGGCATCCTCGTTTTTCTGTAAAGACATAACAATCATATCTACTACTATGGGATACTGAAAAAATCGGATATTTTTTTTTTCACAGGTTATATGTTTTCAATCAGTTGTAAACATTGATAATTCATCAACTAATCTTTGTATGATGTTATTTTAAAATATACTCTATAAATTGGCCATGGAAAAACAATGTCTGAACTTGTTGATGCTTCATTGATTATTATTTCTTCCTCTTTCTTTTCGTCATTATTAATACTACTGTAATATAAATTTTTTAGTATAATAAAATTAAATTAATTAATTCCATTCAAAATAAAAATGGCAGATTCCTTGAGTTGCATTGTAACAAAATTTGTGTGGGTTATTGATAAAATCGGACATAATATTATATATTTTTTATATACTAGTTTTATTATTTTATTTATTATATATAATTTATATTTTTTTATTTATTTTTTTTATTTATATTAATCTTTATTCGGTAAAAAAATTAAAAATTAAAACATGAACATGAACATTTATATACACTATTGAATTAAAAATATATATTAAAAACAAAAAAATCAATATAAAAACATATAATTAAAAGAAGGGAAATTAAGAGAAAAAAAAATTAAAAAATTATTTAAAAAAAAAAAGAGGGATATCTAATTAGGTGTGGTCCACGGGGCTTAATGACCCATGAATGAATATACAGTTTGAACGGCTGATTTCGATTGAAATCCTTTGGCGGAGGTAGAAACCTTTTTTTGGATCACCTGTGATTGATCGTAACCTTTGCCCTATTGTTTTGAATAATTTTAAGGCTTGGGGTCCGAATGATCCACAGGTGTCTGAGACTACCGGAGCGAATAAAATATTATTAAGGTGGCAATATTTATTTGTTTTTGTATTCTCCGCTTTTGAGATGGAGTGGCGGAAAAAGATCTGTCAAAACGATCAACGCAGGTATAGTCCCAAGCGAGAGGTAAACCTTGGTTTCAAGGGACTAACGTCAAACCATCCGGTCTGGTTTGATTATCGGAGCTAAGACCCGTAGGTTCCATTGTGGAGGGAGTATTTGTAAATATCAGCGTTCTATTGATTATTGAGTTATTGGCATAATGTCTAGGAAGTCTGCCTTTTGAGAAACGACAGTGTAGGGGGTGGTGTCCTAGACTATCAATGTGAGATTCACATAGGACACAAGTCGTAGGGGTTACGATATCGCAGCCTAAGCGAAGGCCTATAGCTATTCTGAGTTCTTCGTTGGTAAGTAGTAGGCCTAGATTAGAGCTAGGGATAGTTTCTAACCATTCATATCCAAGATGGCATATGGGTGGAGCTGGATTTATTTGATCTGATAAAAGGGTCGTATTATGGACATCGAGTATGCATGGGGTTGAGCTTGGGTGGAGAAAAAGAGATGGAGATTTTCTTTGACCAGCTTTGAAGTGTAAGTAATCGAAGCAATGCTGTATCAATGGCAAATTCCGTCTCTTTGTCTTATAGAATTGGGATGTGAGCCGTTTGGGGCGTTTTTTTCCATAGATCTAATGCTATCGTGTGATGTGGGTCGATTAATTTTAATATTTTTTAATTATATATTTAATTTATATACTCATATGAAATAAAATAAATTTGGCATTCAACTATTTTTATTTATTATATAAAAAAGCGTTAAAATCTAAAAACAGATACAGTTCCTTTAAATAATATCTAGATACAGATACTTTTATAAAAATTATTTTATATTTTATTTAAATTTAGAGGGATAATGTAGAAAATAATTTTATTCGACATATTAGTTTATTAATCTACGCTTACTATTAATGGAATATTATTTGTAAGCACAGATAAAAAATATTCAGGTATTTACTTCCGTATAATCATCAACATTCTCCTTCTTCTAAAAGAAGCCTTCTCATAATTTTAATTAAACTGTCATAATTAGTTTGTTGTCCAAGTGGTTTATCGTTTTGACCATCAAGTTGTTTCATAAGTCATCTTAATCGTTGGCTTGTCCCAATCGTTGGTTTGTTTAAATCGATTTATCACGTTGGTTTGTTTAAATCGTAAGCTTGATATCCTTATCGTAAGTTATCCTTATAAATCGTGAATTTGATGTAGCTTGCGTAATGCTCAGTCATTATTATTATCAATTTTCAAAATTGTTATTATCATCAGTAAATTACGAATAATGAGAAATAATAGTTCATCAAGTTGGATATAAGAATAAATGAAGAATTATAAATCAATAAGATAGTTATATAATATTTTTAGCGTTTTCATTTTTTGCGTTTTCATTTTTTGCGTTTTCATTTTTTGCGTTTTCATTTTTTGCGTTTTAGTGTAAGCGTTTTAATATTTAATTTACTTTACTTTATTTTTATATTTAATGTAGTCTTTTAAATAAACAGGTTTTTGTTAAATTCGCTCTGGTCTTCGGTGTTATATCATTTTTATCAGTAGTCCACACTTCCCTCCTTAAAAGAATCCTTAGAGTCATAATTAATAAGTGTGTTAAAACAGTTTCTTAATCATAATTGATTTAAGTGTCTCCTCAAAATACCTTTATCTGACTCAAGGAACATCATGTCACTTTCTTTGTGTGTGACCATGTCTTTACACCATTTGTCAACACTTTGTACTTTGTACCAAACAAAATCTCCTACATTAAAGATTCTATTTCATGGTAAATTAACGTTTATTTTGTTCTCTTTCTCCTCCAACGGTTTTAATAAGTCCCATTTTACTCTAATATCTCGATTGAACATTCTCTTAGAAGGTGTAACTCCTGTAATATTATTACGCGTATTTCTGTAATTAAATAAAAATTTGTCAAGTGCGAAGTCTAAGTCAATTTTGATATTCCTTTTCATGTGTGTTTTGAACGCTCTCACCATGCATTCTACCTGGCCATTGGATTGCTGGTGATAAGCAGATGTGAGCACATGTTTGATACCATAATCATTGCAAAATTTTTCCAAATTATTACATGTGAAATTAGTGCCGTTATCAGTAACTATAGTATAAGGTATTCCATATAGCGAAATAGTTTTAAAAATTTCATTTAAAGTAAGATCGGTCGTAATATTTTTAACAGGAACAATAATTGGAAATTTGCTATAGGGTAGGCATCGACTATTATCAACCAATTTCTTGTGAAGAACGGACCCGCATAATCTATGTGTATTCTTTCAAACGGTTTGGTTGCCGAAACCCATGGTTTTTTTATCTTTTTAGGATTGTCATGATATATGTACAATCGTCACAAATTTTCACTTCTATATCTATGTCATTATTTATACCAGAACACCACATGTAATATTTGGCTAAGGATTTGATTTTTCCTGCTCCCAAGTGACCTTCATGTAATGACTG